TGCCGTGGAGGTATCCCAATATAAGTGCCACATGCCGTCCACTGTGTATAGCAAATCGTGGCAACAGACGCTGCGCTCCATGTTGCACGTATCGGGGGAGTGGACGGTACAGAGGGATGAAATGATGGCGGCAGTAAGTCGGACGATGTCGAGGGAGGGAACGAGACGGCTCGGAGGCAGACCACGAATCGTGGCGAGCAGCTGGCATGCACCATTTGAAAAAATGGAGGTCTCTTCTATGGCACGACACGTGCGTTGCACCGACGGATTAGGGGGAGTTTGTGGAACACATATCACAGATACCCAAAGTGCAGGATATGTTTGTGTGGAGGAGTAAGGAGAGGAGGATGGGAGGGTTTGCGAAGGCACCGACAGATGACGAGTTGGCCCGACGTCTTGCAGTTATAAATGAACAAACTACGATATGGGATCCTGGGATGGAAGGGATTGCTGTTGAAATGTGCGGTGACAGTAGGACGGTCGTACAATGGCTGAGGGGAGTCTGGCCTTGTGACAACAGTGGGTACGCCAAACGGATCGCCAGGATACAAAATATCATGTATGACGTGAGTGAACAACACAACATACGATGCCCGACGTACGGAAGGGATTTCTGGAAACATATCTATAGGGAAGCCAATGCCTTTGCTGATGAGCTTACACACCATGCGAGAGAAGGAAACTGATACATAATTTACAAGCACGACTATATCAAACAGAACACGACAAATATCAAATACATTAGAGGATGCTGGGATGGTGGAGTGAGCAGTGGGGGTGCCGCAGGAGGTCACTGGATTGAAGTTGCTCCAGAGAATGGCCCGTGGACGCTCGTGAGCTCAGAAGCCTACATGTTTGATGTAGGAGCCACCGTGACGGAGGCAGAATTATCTGCTGCCGAGCGCCTGTGTACAGGTGTGGAGCACATCGTTAAAGAAATTTCCTCTGCAAAGCGGAGGAGGCGGAATTAACTGGCTCTAGCCCTTAGGCTTGGGCGCACGCGCCCTGTGTAGCCTGACCAAACACCAAACTCGCGCTGAAGATGAGCTTGAGATCTCTTCCGCACAGAATTCAAACAAATAGCTTGGCGAAGGGCCCAACCATATGCAGTTGTGAATGCCGCAAGTGTGCTGGGTGGTGGCGGACGCATGCGGGCGGTGCCACTGGGACCTTCGGTGGAGCTCCCTATGGGGCCACGAAGCGCTGTACTGGGTGGGTGAGACGCGGTCAGCAAGGGCTGTGCTGCGTGGCGGCGGACGCATGCGAGCGGTGCCGCTGGGACCTTCGGTGGAGCTCCCTATGGGGCCACGAAGCGCTGTACTGGGTGGGTGAAACGCAGGCAGGGAGCAAGGGCTGCGCAGGGTGGTGGCGGACGCATGCGGGCGGTGCCGCTGGGACCTTTGGTGGAGCTCCCTATAGAGCTACAAAGCGCTGTTCTGGGTGGGTGAAGCGCAGGGAACCAGGGCTGTGCTGGGTGGTGGCGGACGCAAGCGGACAGTGCCACTGGGACCTTTGGTGGAGCCCCCTATGGGGCCACGAAACGTGCGAGGGTGTGCCAGAACGGGGTGTGGAACCGCATGTCAGCGCAGCCACTGGGGCCTTCGGTGGAGCTCCCGATGGAGCCACGAAGCGTGTGAGGGGTGTGCCGAAATCAGGGGTGGAACCGCGTGCGAGCGCAGCCACTGCGGCGTTCGGTGGGGCTCCCTATGGGGCCACGGGACGTGCGAAGGGCGTGCCGAAAAAAGGGGTGGAACCGCATGCGAGCGCAGCCACTGGGGCCTTCGGTGGAGCTCTCTATGGGGCCACGAACCGTGTGAGGGGTGTGCCGACATGGGGGGGGGGGGGGGGGGGGGGTGGGGGGGGGGGGGGGGGGGGGGGGGAACCACATGGGAGCGCAGCCACTGGGGCGTTCGGTGGAGCTCCCCATGGGGCCACACGAAGCGTGTGAGGGGTGTGCCGAAATGGGGGTGGAACCGCATGCGAGCGCAGCCACTGGGGCGTTCGGTGGAGCTCCCTATGGGGCCACGAAACGTGTGAGGGGTGTGCCAGAATGGGGGGTGGAACCGCATGCGGGCGCAGCCACTGGGGCCTTCGGTGGAGCTCCCTATGGGGCCACGAAACGTGTGAGGGGTGTGCCAGAATGGGGGGTGGAACCGCATGCGGGCGCAGCCACTGGGGCCTTCGGTGGAGCTCCCTATGGGGCCACGAAACGTGTGAGGGGTGTGCCAGAATGGGGGGTGGAACCGCATGCGGGCGCAGCCACTGGGGCCTTCGGTGGAGCTCCCTATGGGGCCACGAAACGTGTGAGGGGTGTGCCACAATGGGGGGTGGAACCGGAACCGCGGGCGCAGCCGCAGCTGGGGCCTTCGGTGGAGCTCCCTATGGGGCCACGAAGCGTGTGAGGGGTGTGCCAATGAACCGCATGCGGGCAACCGCATGGTGTCGCCGCAGCCGCTGGGGCCTTCGGTGGAGCTCCCTATGGGGCCACGAAACGTGTGAGGGGTGTGCCAGAATGGGGGGTGGAACCGCATGCGGGCGCAGCCACTGGGGCCTTCGGTGGAGCTCCCTATGGGGCCACGAAACGTGTGAGGGGTGTGCCAGAATGGGGGGTGGAACCGCATGCGGGCGCAGCCACTGGGGCCTTCGGTGGAGCTCCCTATGGGGCCACGAAACGTGTGAGGGGTGTGCCAGAATGGGGGGTGGAACCGCATGCGGGCGCAGCCACTGGGGCCTTCGGTGGAGCTCCCTATGGGGCCACGAAACGTGTGAGGGGTGTGCCAGAATGGGGGGTGGAACCGCATGCGGGCGCAGCCACTGGGGCCTTCGGTGGAGCTCCCTATGGGGCCACGAAACGTGTGAGGGGTGTGCCAGAATGGGGGGTGGAACCGCATGCGGGCGCAGCCACTGGGGCCTTCGGTGGAGCTCCCTATGGGGCCACGAAACGTGTGAGGGGTGTGCCAGAATGGGTGTGGGAGGGGGAGGAGGGGGGAGGAAGGGGAGGAGGAGGAAGGAGGAGGAGGAGGAGGAACGGGGGCGACGTCTCTTCAAAACGAGGACCCCACACCACAGGATGGTTGGGAAAGAATCATGAGGCGCGCTAGTCTGAAGTATCTAGACGCTTGGTTTGGTTTCTTATGAGCGCAGACGCTGACTGTTTTTCTGGTAATGGAATTCGTTTTCTGGATTGAACTCGAGATGCAGATGAGCTTGAGAGCTCTTAGGCATTGCAATGGGAAGAGAATCACCATGCGCGCTATTTGAAAGTATCTACACCCGCTCAGTCTGCTATTCTTGGACATGATATCGGTTTTCTTGGTTTCACTTGTTGCAGATGAGCTACAGAGCTGTTCAGCACAGCAATGGGAAGGGAATCATCAGAGGCAATAGTGAAATGTATTTAGAAGGCTGAGATCAGTCTGCTATCAGCGATCGGGCTGGATGTCTATTCGTTCTCTGCTAATTCTTTGAACATAATTTATGGCAAGGAAGCTCTACGAGTCTCCCGGCGGTAAGAAAGGTTGAAGGAAGGGGGCTGGGAGAAGGGCGATGGAACGAGGCGGGAGGCAAGGGTGAGACGGGAGCAGCAAGAGCGGCGCTGGATGAGTGGCACTTGCTTGTGGCCGAAAAGCTTCAGTCGTCTTTTTTCGCGACTCCATGAGGTTTTGGAAGGGGGAGTGTCGCGCCCTGATAATCTGCTCAGGGGCGACGACCGTATGGCGTGGCCGCCCCAGGAACCGCTGGGGGTCCGTCGTCGATGCATCGGCGGTGCACCGTGGATTCTAGACCTTCAGGCCGGAATCGGCCGATGCGGCCAGAGCGGACGGGGTTGGAGGATCACCGATGCATCGGCGATGCAGCCCGATCCTGAGCACAGTGTGTTCCATCCCGACGTCGCCGACGCAGGCCAAATGCATCGGCGATGCGGACGATTCCTCCGATCCCATCTGTTCCGGACCATTATGGGTTGCCTCCAGGGTCGACGCTGGCCCCCCGAGAACAAAAACATCTGCACATGGACCCCGCTGCGCAGACGACCTCCCGCGATGACAGGCGCTGTGTGGGCAGAGGTCTGGCGATGGGTTTCCATACTTAGGTGATTTTGGAAACCCGCGAACATTTGCAAAACAGGCATTCGGCGAGTCTTCGGGTTTCCATAATTCGCGGGCCTGACGGCCCGTGAATAATGGAACCCACAGACCCTCGCTGACGCCGCTGTGTGTAGATCTCCCCCTTTGCGTGTGGAGGGTTTTGCTCACCGCGCCCGTGCTCGGGAGTTCAGTCTGGGCCAGTGGCTGAGACAGCTCGTGTCTGGCGAATCGCCCACGGCGGTTGTCAATTCGGCCCTGACACCTCAACCGTCAAGACGAAAGAGGTGTCATCTCTGCCCTAAGACCTCGCTCGCTAAGACGAAACTAGTCGTCAATTCAGCTCCAACACTTCGTTCGTCAAAACGAGAGGAGCCGTCAATTCGGCCCCGAAACTTCGTTCGGCAAGACCGAAGCCGTCGTCAACCATCAGCCCCGAGACGACGTTCGTCAAGACGGAGGGTGCGGCAAGGGGGGCCGTCAACGGCGTTCGTCAACTCGGAGGAAAGCCGTCAAGGGGGTTTGTCACCCCAGGGGGAGGCCGTCGTCAGGAGGGCCCGTCAAAGGGGTTCGTCAACCCGGAAGGAGGCCGTCAAGGGGTTTCGTCATTTCGGAGTGAGGCCGTCGAGGGGGGTCGTCAACTTGGAATGAGGCCGTCAAGAGCGCGAGAGTTGACGGCCAAGTCTTTTCACTAAGAGAGGGTTCGCGGCCGAGTCCCTTCACTATGAGGGAGTTGCCGGCTCGAGCGCCAGATCAAGTATACGGGGCCGTCCGTTGCAGCGTCCAGGCCCACCTCCAGACCAGCCGCCCGCGACAGACTCAACTCGAGAGGTCGTTGGCGCCTCGGGCACCCCCGTTGTCAGTTGCCCAGTGGTCGGCCGTCCGGTCGGAACGGCTCATGGAGGCCCTCCACAGATGGAGAAGCAGCCCAGCGTGGAGGTGATGGAGGAGCTCAGGGACCAGGCCCAGACGGACACCATCAGGTTGACTTTCGACTTTAGTGCGATGATGGATGCCAGATCCAGACTGTCGGTGGGCAAGCAGACGGGGGAGGACGGGATCACGGTTAGCATGCTGAAGACTCTAGGCTTCGGGAACCTTCAGGAGATATGTAAGATGTTTTCGGCGATCTATGAGGGGCGGGAACCGACGCCAAAGGACTGGCGCAGGATAGTGCTCACGCTCATCCCCAAGAGTGAGAAGATTACGAGTTTGGAGGATACCAGAGCGATTGCAGTTTCTTCATGCTTGACTAAGTGGTATTCGCTTTCCCTGGTTGTGGTCCTGGAGAGGTTCCTGGCCAAAAACTTGGACCCCGAGGTGAATGTATATGGGTTTATGTCTGGGAGAAAAACGACGGAGGTCACCTCGATGATTAAACATATCGGTAAACGTGCCTCGATTTGGGGGAAGGGCCAGAGCTTTTGGCTCTGCAGTTGTGATATTCTGAAAGCGTACGATCACCTTCGACTTACGACATGTGTGAAAGCAATGAGAAAGCTGGGAGTTCCTTCTTCTTTTCAGCATGCTATCTTGGAGCCGATGCTGAGAAACGCGGCGACGGCAAATTTCCAGAGTACCCAGTGCGAAACAGTGCCGTGGGACACCTGTGTTAGGACGGGAGGGGTTGGGGGCCCCATCTTGTTTGTGCTAGTCACGATTGCGATGATTGGCCCGACAGTGCACTCGTGGAAAGAGAGGGGCCTCGGCTACAACATCGAGAGACCGAGAGCGTATGCAGATTCGATCGAGGCTAAAGTTGGAGCCAGCTCTCGCACTATCGAGGGCCCCCAGGAGATGGAGGTACACCAGAGTCTCAGTCATGCGATATGGGCGGGTAACTTTTTTCATCTTCGCCCAAGGTGATAGACAGGAGGGAGAGAAGATGATTTCCACGATGATGAAGGAACTTACGATATCCATACGTGAATGGGGCTTCGAATGGAAACCCAGTTCGGTTGAGTTAGCGACGTTTGGGATAGACTTTGATGCAGATCCGTTGGAGGTTCAAATCCCGACCAAATCTATAGAACCAGGATCGACAAGACAGAGAACAGCGATCAAATCTTTTGAATCAGCTGCGAGAGTAACTCCATTGACAGGGCCAACACCACTTCCTCATTCGTATATGCCAGCGTCAACATCAGTTCTTCTTTCATTTGCCAGCGCCGCAATCACATCTTCATTCGACATATCCGACAGCTACGCTGAGCAAGATATCCGACAGCTACGCTGAACAGACATATCAGACAGCTACGCTGAACAGAAACATGCCAGTTCCCCAGTCGCCTTTGGCAGCGCCAACGACATTTCCTTATGCACATTTGCCGACGCCAATGCCAGTTGTTCATACTCGTGTGTCATCGTCGTCGTTGATAAGAGTGCCTGTTGTTCTTTCGCATTTGTCAGCGCCAACGCCATCTCTTCATGCTCGTGTGTCTTCATCGTCGTCGATAAGAGTGCCTTTTGTCTCAGCTTGTAGTGTGCAGCCTGTTGCCTCAGCTTGCAGTGTGCACGAATTGTCTGAGAATGCGGGTGCTGTTCAACCGATGACCGATCTGGCCTTGTCTCCGAATGTGGGTGCGGGCTCGTCCACCGATTTGGTGGAGACACTCTTCGTTCCGCGAGTGCAGGAGATTACCTTCTTGGGTGTTCGGCTACACACTCGAATGAGGACACACTTGGACGTGCAGTATCGGATTCAGAAAGCTCAGCAGGCGTTCTTTCAAGGCATCAGTTTGTATCGGTGTCGGTCGGTGCCCTGGACGGTGACATGGGATAAGTATGTGAGCAAAGTACAGAGCACTTTCTTGTACAGTATTGAAGGTCTGAGTATCGACAAATCGGCATTGCAAGCTATTCATAAGTTTGAGGGACGTTGTTTGATAAAAATAGTTGGTGTACGGAAAAAGATCAATGAAACATGGTTCAGCTTCAATGTCAGTGCATATAACTTTGCCAGGGAGAAGTTTCGGGACAAAAACACGCCAGCCTGGTAGAGTTGTACTTGCAGAAGCAATGGGGGTGGAAGAAGGATTGTTGCTCGTTCTTGAAGACGGCGGACATTGCGACAGGTGCTGCTTGCAGTCAACAGAATTCTGGAGCTTGGCGGGAATCAACAAGTGTGTGCCGCAGTTTTATGACAGCAAGGTTGGCGATGTTCCATGGTATGAAACGTTGGACGGAGAGACGGGACTTGTACAATGAAGCGATCAGGTTGTTGAGTAAAAGTTGGAAGAACCCAGAAGTGTCAGAAAAACGACGGAGGATTGATTGCCAGGCAATAGGTCAGACATCGTGGCACGCGACATTTGAAAGTTTTCGGGGAGATGAGTATTGGAAACACTTGACACATGATGAGGAGACGCGGAAAGCATGGATTGAGCATATCAAACAGAGGACTGGACTTGCATTCGATCGACACTTTAAGCAGGAAAAAGAAAAGCGAGTGGGACCAAACACTTGGGAGGAGGAGGAGGCACCAACACGGGCGGCGAATGCAAAGCAGGCCAAGAGGCTCGCACATGTTTTCGCGACGATGACGGACTGGTGGGAGTACGAACAGGGGCTTGCACGAGGGTTGCCAGTGGAGATCCAGGGAGATAGCATGGCCACGATCAAGTGTTTAAACGGGGAGTGGAATATCCAAAACCGAACATATGCCAGACAGATTGCCGAAATACAAAATGAGTTTCACGAGTTGCATGAAGAGTTTAACGTTGTCGGAGCCACGGTCGGAGGAGACATAGGTAAGCATGTCTATCGGGAGGGAAATCAGAGGGCGGACGAATTCACTCACATTGCGCGCGTCAGAGATATGGAGTATGATAGGACACGCGAGCTACAGGAGTATGACCTTTATGCCCTTCGGGGCGCTTTCGACAGTGGAGTCGATAAGGATAAAGCAGGAGCAGGCTGGTGGCTGGAGGGATTGATCAAAGCATCGGCATCTCATTCAATATATGGGAGCTTTGCCTTTCTGGATAGACCACAATTGGTGCTGATCAAATCGAAGGCGTTTGGCCTTCCCCCCCAATATTCTGCCATGAACACTGAATTCGAAGCTTTATCGAGCCTCTGCGAGGCCATCTTTAGTGTAACCCGTAACTTCGCCCGTAGGGTTAGGCTTAAGAAACGACCTGTGGCTGCTTTTGGCAGCCGTTAGACAGATCGCAAAAGGCAAAAAAAGAAAGGTTGACGGTGTACCGCCGGCGCCCAGTAACTCGTAGAGCTTCCCTCAGCCAGTTGCTGGAAGCTTAAGAGTAGCTCGTGGAGCTTCCCTTAGCTAGGTGCTGGAAGCTTAAGAGTAATTCCGGGGTGCTGGAGAGCTAATTGACAAGAAAAATGTCGACGGACCTTTTGGTGACTTTTGCTCGGTTGAAGATTATGTTCTCGAAATTCAACAATTCGTTAGAGCTCTCGTTTTTTTTTCCCATGGTATTCGATCTTATTCCCGCTCGCCGTCTTAATCTCAGCTCGCCATGGTACCTATTACTGCCAAAAGGCGTCGCGGCGGGATCGGCCGTTTCGAGTCATCTTGACACGCGTTGACGGTTTTCTGTACTTAGCTCGAGATTTAGGAGAGCTACAGAGCTGGTGCTTACAGAAACCGATTCAGAATCATCAGGCGCGTTCGTCTGTTGTATCCAGATGTCTGAACTCGGTCTGCTACTCGAGCTAGGCCCGCGAAACTATTCGTATTCTTCGAGTCATCTTGACAGGTGCTGTCGGTTATCTGTACTTAACTCGGGCTCTAGAAAAGCTACAGAGCTGGTGCGCACGAATCGATTCAGAGTGATCAGGCGCGTTCGTCGGTTGCATCGAGAGGTCTGAACTCGGTCTGCTACTCGAGCTAGGTCCGCGAAACTATTCGTATTCTTCGAGTTCTCTTAACAGACGTTGTCGGTGCTCTGTGCGTAACTCGAGCTGTAGGAGAGCTACAGAGCTGGTACGCACACGAATCGATTCATAATGATCAGGCGCGTTCGTCTATTGCATCGAGAGGTCTGAACTCGTTCTTCCACTCGAGTTAGGTCCGCAAAACTATTTGATGCATTTCTTCACTTAACTCGAGCTGCAGCTGAGCTTGAGAGCTCTTCCGCCCAGAAATTATAAGAACATCGTGAGGCGCGTTAGTCTGAAGTATCTAGACGCTTGGCTTGGGTCTGTTATGGGCGCAGACGCCGAACAACTAGTCATGCTCTGCTTTGTTCTTGCGATGGAATTCGTTTCCTGGGCTGAACTCGAGGTGTAGATGAGCTTGAGAGCTCTGAGGCATTGAAATGGGAAGACAGTCATCATGCGCGCTGTTTGAAAGTATCTAGACACCCGCGCTCAGTTCTCTATTAGCGGTAGGGCTGAACACCGATTCGTACCATGCTACTTTCTTGGGAACGGTAGTGTTTTTCTTGGTTTTACTTGTGCTGCAGATGAGCTACAGAGCTTTTCAGCACAGCAATGGGAATCATAAGCGGCAATCGTGAAATGTATCTAGAAGGCTGAGATCAGTCTGCTATCAGCGATCGGGCTGAAAGTATATTCGTTCTCTGCCAATTCTTTGGACATAATATATGGCAAGGAAGCTCTACGAGTCTCCCGGCGGTAAGAAAGGTTGACGGTTTACCGCCGGCGCCCAGTAATTCGAACGCGCTGGAGAGCTAGTTGGCCAGAAAAATCTCGACTGACCTTTTGGTGACTTTTGCTCGGTTGAAAATACCTCGTAGAGCTCTTCGGCAAGAGTTAAGAGGAATTCGGGCGCAGGGTGGAGCTAGTTGGCAGACCCGACCTAAAGAGACAATGTGGTGACTATTTAAATAAATATATCTATCTTTTTGCAAAATTTGAAAATTCGTTTTGAGAGCCGATATTTTTCTTACGTGTAGTGGGTTATGCCGCGTCTGCCAGTTCAAGTCTCAGGTCCCTAGCTGCAATATTACTATCAAAACACTTGCAGGAACCGACTTTGTAAAACAACTGAAAATCGCAATTTTCCGAATTTCTCAGATCATCTGGAGAAAGCTTCTTCCATGTGTTCCAAGCAGCACCCTGCGAGGAAAGAGCTCTACGAGGGTCGCGGCGGTAACCTGGTTGACGGTTTACCGCCGGCTCCCAGTTATGTTCTCGAAATTCAGCAATTCGTTAGAGCTCTAGTATTTTGTTGACCATATTCGATCTTTTTTCCGCTCGCTGTCTTAATCTCAGCTTGATCGGATACCTATTACTGCCAAAAAGCATCGCGGCGGGATCGGCCGTTCCGAGTCATCTTGAGAGGCGCTGTCGGTTTTCTGTACTTAACTCGAGCTGTAGGAGAGCTACAGAGC